CCATTATACTCTAATATTTAATTCTTATACAATTATTATATCCACTTAATACATACATTCTACATCTAGCTACTTAATATATATTTTATATATTAAAGTATAAAATATAAGTGTATTACTCATCTTATAGTAGTTTACTTATATATTATATAATATAAACATTATATTATATATTACTTACTATAACTAGTATTATACTAGTTAATTAGTTAATTAGCATTCTTGTTACATTTTTCATTATACTAGTTAATTAGTTCATTACCATTATTGTAACATTTTTCATTATACTAGTTAATTAGTTAATTAGCATTCTTGTTACATTTTTCATTATACTAATTAAAATACTTCACATTTTATTTAACTAGTTGTTAGTTTGTTACATTTGTCACTATACTAGTTAACTACTTAATTAGCATTGTTGTTACATTTTTTATTGTACTAGTTATTTACTTCAAAAGTTGCTATAATTTTAATTGTAGAGACACACATTAATTCTACTTTGCACAAAATTAGTTTGAAGTATTAATTAAAATAGTTTTAATTAGTTGCATTAGTTTTGTATCCATTATTATATTTGTTGTGAATTAATATTTGTTACATTTTTTAGATGGAAGGTGGTAGATATTCGGTTGATTTGGGTAACCTCCAACGCAATCGAAGAAACGAGATTGGTAGGAAGAAATCCCGCAAAGGTAAAGAACTTGCCGGGTCTTCATCTCAAAGCCGAGATGATTTTGAAACGGGTTACCAAAGGCGAGATGGAGATGCGATGTCCGAAGAACAACTCCAACAAGAATTGGCCCGACATAATAACCGCTTTCTACAACAACAACAAATGCCGACGACCATTGACGAAGAGGAGCTTGAGGATGAAGATGCGGAGGAATTGGAACCGGAGACGGCCGAGGAGGAGGGTGCCGGCAGCCACGACGCCGACGCGCCTGCCTCATCCCAAACCGCCACCGGTAATAAAAAAAGTAAGTCTGAACTAATGAAAAATAATTTTGATAAATGGAAGGACCCACAAACCGGCTATTGGCACGCAACTTGCAAGTGGTGCAACAACAATTATAGTTTGGGAACCTCCGGCGGATACGGATCCGCCGCAAGGCATCTTAAGGCAAAGCACCCCGTGGAGTATGCAAAATTAGGCGGCGGAACGGGGAAGCAAACTCAAATATCGAGGTTTGCGAATTCTCAACCTTTTGGTAATTTCTCCTACAATGATGCACAAAATTTGACTGGTATGGCTAACTTAATTTGTGAAGAAAATTTGCCTTATTTGTTTTCTGAAAGTCTTGCTTTAAGAGATTGTGCACAAGGTAGTTTAAATCCTCAATTTAGAAATTATAGTCGCAAAACTGTTAAGAAAGAAATAATAAGGCTTTATAATGCGGAAAAGGTAAGGTTACAAAATTTTTTTGCAAACTTTGATGGGCGTGTTACTATTTGTTCTGACATATGGGAGGATGATTTTCATCATTTATATTATTTGGGTCTGACTGCACATTATATTGATGAGGATTGGAATATGCATAAACGTGTTCTTGCTTTTCGTGAATTTAATGATCGTCACACCGCTGAACATATTTATATTTTGATTGAGCGTATTTTAATTGAGTATAATTTGATTGATAAGGTGTTTGCTATTGGTTTCGATAATGCTACTAATAATACTGCTGCTATACCTAGATTGCGTGAGTTGTGTGGTGCCAATTCTTTGATGGGTAGATTTTTTCATCAACGCTGTGCATGTCATGTTATAAATTTATGTGTGCAAGACGGTTTAAAAGCGTTAGGAGATTCCATGGAGGTAATAAAGGGGGGGATTAGACGTATTTGGGGTAATGGTCAACTTAGATTAAAATGGCAAAGTTATTTGACTGAAAGAGGTGTGAGATATGTTGCTTTTCCTAAAGATTTGAGTATTCGTTGGAATAGTACTTATAAATTACTTAAAGTTGTTCTTAGATATAAAGAACATTTTCCTGCTTTTTTAAAAGAACATGATAACTATATTATAAACGCGGCTGAGATCGACACTTGCGAAAAAATTTGTAATGTTTTGATATATTTTTTTAATGCTACTGAAACTTTTAGTCATGTTTATAAACCTACCGCAAACCAATTTATTCCACAAGCTGTTAATCTCGCCGATGCTTTTAAAGAATTTCAAAATGCCGTTTTCGTTCATTATTTTTGTGATCATATGAAGGAAAAGTTTTTAAAATATTATGCGCATATTCCCCATATTTATGGTATTGCATTTATTCTCGATCCTCGTTATAGACTTGCTAATTTGGAAGATTGTTTCAACTTCTATTATCTTGCGTTTTTCGGTGAATTTCCAATGTATGACGATAACCCCATAGATCCGAAAACGGAATACAACGAGGTTATTACTTTATTTTATGCCTTATTTAATGAATTTCGTGCACAATATAGCAACGCTCCCCCTCCCCCGTCACGAACATCTTCATCTAAAGGAAAATCGATTTTTAAATCTGCATTTGGCAATCTTATGAAAAAAACTAAAACAACTCATGTCACTGAACAAAGCGCATTGAATGAGATTACTTTGTATTTAACATATGAAGTTGATTTTGAAGAAAATGATGACTTTGACGTTCTAGACTGGTGGAAGTCAAAAGAAAGAACGTTCCCGATTTTAGCACGGATGGCTAAGCAAGTACTATCAATGCCGGTTTCAACAGTTGCTGTGGAACAAGAATTTAGTTCGGCCGGCAACGTCCTAACGGCATCTAGATCGAGATTGAGCGCGGAGTCTCTTGAGACGCTTATATGCTACCACGATTGGTTGAAGGCCGCACGTAGAACTCAAGAATTGAGCATCACCCCCTCCCAAGATTTTATGGATGACTCAACAACCGATGGTGGCTCTACCTATGCCGGAGATTCCGATTGATTAGTATTTTAGAATTTATTACAAAATGTATTATATAGCATTTGTCAAATTTATTTATACTTGTACTTCATATTTCAAAATTGTAAACTTGTACTTCATATTTCAAAATTTTAAATTTGTAGTTGTAGTTCAAATTAATTTGTAAACTTGTACTTCATATTTCAAATAAATATGTGTTCACTTTTTCATATGTAGCACTTCTCAAATTAATTAATTGGTTACAATCTAATGACTTAAAATTATTTTTCTAAAATATAAAGCCGGTTTTTAAATTAAAAATACATTTAGAATATGTAATTTGTTTAAATACTTATACACCTATTTTGTAACATTTGTAAATTATAAATCAAACCACTTTTCTAAGTACAAATAGTTTTAGTTTTACTTAATTCATTAAATTAATTAATTTATTTTACAATATGTGTATAACTTAAAAAAAAAAAAAAAATAATTCAAACCTCCCAAACGGCTATATAGCCGTTGGGGCTATGGGTGGGGGGCAGGGGGTCCCGGGGGGTGGTGGTGTGGGGAGTGGGGTTCAAAAACATCTATAAATACATCTATTTTCTAACATTTTTTACATCTCTTCTCCAATTCATCTCAAACTCTTCTCCATCTTCATCTTCTCTTATTATCCTACATTCCTACTTATACATATACCATTTTAAATATGGAAAGTACATCTTCCCTTATGCAAAACAATTTTGACAAGTGGAAGGACCCGAAGACCGGTCTGTGGTGGGCAACTTGCAGGTGGTGCAAGAAAGAGTGTTGCTTGGGGGGTTCATACGGATACGGGATGCCAATAAAACATATGAAGTCTTGTGACAAAGGGAAAACAACAACCAACGGTGGCAGAAATCCCAATTGATATTCATTACAAAATGTATTTCGTATTGTTGTTTTTTTCTCAATTCTCAAATGTAGTTCTTATTTCAAATAAATGCACTTGAACTTTGTTTTTAATAGCAATTTGTATAATATATAATTAATAAAAAATATATATATATATAATGCCCCGGCCCGGCCCGGCGGGTGGCCTGACTCGTGACCCGGGCGGGTGGCCCGGCCCGAACCGGAACCGGTCATTGACCGGGCCGGTCCCGGGCCTACCATTATAGGACCCGAGGCCCGACCGGGCCTTGACCCGGCCCGGGCCCGACCCGGCCCGGGTCCAACACTACCCTAGCCCTTCATGAAATGGGTGTATAGATATTGTTGCAAAATTGGCATATACGAGACGACCAACACGTCCAGAGTGCACCCAGATGGTCGGGCCCACATTCACTACCTCATGCACTGCACCGACGAATCTAGAGGATTCTATGGCTAATATTTGCTCAGCTACGTCAAATACAGGACAAGATCAACGGAATTCTAGGAGTGTCGGCGCCATTAGACATAGCCTCCAAGATGTATTATGCGGACTCGCCTTTCAGTCGTCAGATCACCAACGTTGAGATCCCTCATAAATTTGTTACACCACCAATGAAGCTATTCAACGGAACCTCCGATCCAGGGGAACATGTCGCGCAGTACAAACAGATGATGTTAGTAGTCGTCAATCAGGCAAGAACAGAGAGGCTTGCATGTGCAGTGCCTTTGAAGCAACTTTGACAGGACTATCCCTGACATTGTTCGTCAACTTGGCAAACAGGGGAATCAACTCATTCGCTTAACGCATGAATCTTTTCATCCAACAGTTTGCGAGCAATAGGATTCTTGAGAAACAAACCAATGATCTATATAGAATTACCCAGCGGCGAGGCAAAACACTTCAAAAGTACTTGCATCGCTACAACAAGGAAAAAGTGTCGATCCCACGATGCGACATCCCTACAACAGTTGAGGTCTTCGAGAGGAGATTACTCGAAGACTCAAAACTATACCGAGAGATGACCAAGTATCCCTACCGAACCTTTGAGAACGTCCAAGCCAAAACATTGGCCTTTATTCGTTTAGAGGGGGGTCTACAGTATCGACATGAAAACTACAAGTTTGAAAATTATATCTAAACTACATTAAATAGGATGCAAAAAAGATAGAGATAAAATAATTATACAAGAAATATGCATGGAAGATTCATAATTACGTAACAATGTGATTATACGAATAAGAATGATAAAGTAAGAGTCCTTGTTTTACCCACATTTGTACACACTTTTGTGCATTTGCTTGTTTACACAGGCATTTGGGAGAAAAGTGTTGCCTTCTTCTTAACGAACTTTCTCTGTGCACAGGCGAAATAGGGGGTGGGTACAAAAGTGGGGGTGGGTACAAAAGTGGGTACAAAGAGAATTTTTGCTTCAGGAATCCAATTATTCCGATGGATTAAAATACTACTGTTGGGTGCCACTGGCGCCGTTCAGCAACAGTGTAATGATCTCCATGCAGCAGCGTTTAAAAACAAGCCTGGCAATTCCTGACCCATTTTAAAGTAACCCACACCAGATTGACCAGTTACTGGGTCCTATACTTCGGTGCAGATAGTTGGGTTGGTTACATGAAAAGAAATGCAACAGCCATGGCTCGATTTCAAGTAATATCAGTGTTCACTCCTAGGTTAGCAGGACACTAAGTCACTGTGTCCGTCTAATGAAAAGAATGAAGGATATATGGCAAAAAAGGCTTGTGCAGCTCCAAAATCACTGTAAACAAATTTTGGAGAACAAACCTATTCTCTACTTTATAGGATGCAAAATTGGGAGGCCAGTAGGACAATAAACCTTAACCCCCTCCCCTGTCATCAAAGCCCTTACAGTTGACAGAATTAAAACTTTTTATCAACAGCAAAAGCAATAGTTTACCAAAAATATTCTCCCCAGTTTGTTTTAGACTTTTAGCTAGGCTTATAAAAACCTTGCTCAGTGTCGCCTTTCACTGATCCTCTCCAACATGACTATTTTCAGTGTTTCCATTGAGGAGCTCCTCTACCTTCTCTTGGACCTCCACATCAACTTCTACTTTACCTTCTGGGGTAGAACCATCCTCATGATTCAAGGCCTCGGGCCCACCACTGTATTTTTCAGAAGGCGGGAATGTATCTTCCTCTAGAGCACTATCCGTGGCTGAAGGAGTTGTTGATACTACCAGTGATTGGTTTGGTGAATTTCCTGAGCTTGGAGGAAAAAAAACACCGGTGCCGGAGACTGGTAAACGTGGCGGTGGAGGATTTGTTGGGGCGGGTGTGGCATTCCAACCAGCAGAGGCTACCGGTGGGGAAGGAAAAGGCAGCTGTGGTGGTGGGACGGGGGTAGAAACAAACATCGGCTGGACCCCATTAGAAGGTAGTAGTTGCGGGCAAGCAGCTGGTCCCGGTGGCAGTATGACACATGATGTTGACACTACTGGACCATTATAATGCTTCGGAGCTGAAGGGCGGATAATGTGATTTGGTGGCTTGCTAGGTGGGTGGTACTGTGTATGTGGGGAAAGTGGTCCAGTGTATGTTGGGCCACGAGGACTATTTCCAGATGCTGCAGTTTTATCAAGCTGAGACTTTGTTAAAGTAAGGATGATTCGCTGTTTCTGGAGAGATGGGATTGCATGTTTTGCAAAATCAGCTGACTTCCCTTGCATGACTAGCATGGACCTACACAGAAAGAAACCAGGCAATCCTTAGTTCAGTCAGTTCAACTGCATGAAATATAAACCCCATTCGGTGATCTTTATTTTTTGGGCCTGTTTAAGACTGCATTGGTAAATGATAATGATGTTAATAATTAAGCAATGGTAATTTCCTTGGCTGAATTGGCTAAAAAGAAAATTGACCGCCTCTCACCCCAAAATTTAATGTTTTCCCACTTTTTGCACATATGTAAATTCCTTGCAATTTTTAGTCCGGCAAGGTGACAAGAAATCTAAAATATATAAGTACAGCTTCTGGGTGATTATTACTGCCATTTTTTTATTCCTTCCAACCCTAATGGGCTCAATTTATGTACAGCTTTCGGCTGATTTTCACCAGGTAAATGGATGGAAAAGACAAAAAATGGATACTTGAAGTTGTGCACAGAAAATGGACAACATATAAGCTTGGGACAAAAACAACATAAATCAGAATGAAAATACTTATGAGACCAAAACTAGAAACCTTTCAAGGCTAAAATGTAGATAAATGACACCACCAACATCAAATATCAGTACTATTACCAAGTTTCAAATATTAGCTTTTAAATAACTCGGACAGATTTGCTCATTTAGCTACAACTTCAGCGGATTTTAAGCCCGACTCGACAAATTTACCCACACCAAACAGCCTTTGAACTTCTAAGTACCCCTTTTTATAGGGGTGTGGCTGAAATGGCAGAACATTTGGATAGAAAACTGTTGACACAGGCATTTCAGAAAAATAAGTGAATTAAGAGCTATGAGATCTGAGGGCTTTTTGTTTAGTCTTTGTTTCATCCAAGAAAAACAGAGAGAGAGAACTGCCCTACCCTGGTGCAAGAGAAAGGCGGAGAGAGCCCCGATATTCCCCGCGATTGTGTGAGTCAATCATTTTTCCATATGTAATATCACATTCTGTCAGAAAGAGCACACTTATTGGCCGTCCAAACCAAAGAGGCCACATATTTGGTTGTGAGTAATCTCCCTACAGAAATGGTAAAACAGTATTTCCTGTTTTTAGCATATGAAGCAAAACCAATAGAACTGGGAGATATAATATACAGTTAGTACTTTGTTTAGTCTTTTGATTATGGGTCAATTCCAGATTACGTACTCAGCTTTTAATTTCACCAAGTTTCTGCCTTCACTTTTAGTTATTTCTAAATTAAGTCTTGTGTGAACTAATCTGTATTAATTTTCAAGAACCAGGGTAAAAATGGAAACACATTAAATAACAGATGAACATGTAGGCTATGTTGCACGATAAGACAGATGATAATTTCCATTATTGCCCCTAGATCTTGAAAGAGAGCAGTAATTTGTTTAAAGAGGATTACATCTGGAAAGAGCGTGAAAGTCGAGGTAGAAATGTGGTCAAATTGAAAATTATCTACTATATCTAGAATTGACAGAATAATAGAGGACAGAATCTTGAGTTTATTAATAATTTAATCATCACTCGTAACCTCATTGAAGATATCAATCATGCACGAATCAGGCTTGATGGGGACCACTTGCTTAGAAGCCAATGAATCAATAACTTCTTGCAGTAAGACAGGAATGGTATCTACTTTCTTCTCTGCAGATACAATTAAATTGGAACCCAAATGATAAGAAAATCAGTCATAAAGTACTCAAAAAAGTTATAACAAAGGGAAGGAAAAGTGAAAGGTATTATACAAGTGCCCTTCAATAACAATTATAATGCTATCAATTATAGTCTTGCCTTTGGATATTCCGGCAGCAGCTTCATTTTCAGTAACATCAGTAACGGGAATACCTAATTGAATCATTTCTCTCCCATGCCCCTTCATGGGTCTCTTTGAGACTACAAATGTTTGCCCTGCTTATCACACAAAAATACACTTCATTTTCAAGGTGCTACTTTTGAAAGGGCTTCAGTTAATCTTCAGAACACACAATGCATGCTTTATCTCACCCTTCCAAGAAACAAGATGTGGGTGCTATTATGTGCCTGTTTGAAATAGTATAATTTATAGCATGTGCTTTTATCATAAGTGCTCTACTGTTCTCTCAGTCTCTCACTAAGCACTTATAATGCTTTTTAAAAAAATCACCAATCTGTTTATTTCTTAAATTATAATCAGATGTGATATTTACTACTACCTCTGTCCAATTTTATGTGCCTACTTTGGTTTGGCACAATTATTAATAAAGTGGTTGAAAAAGTAAATGGTGTGGTTGATATTAGAGTATAATAAAGTGAAATACTATAGACCACATATTTCTTTCCAAAAATGAAACGTGACACTTATTTTGGAACAACCCCAAAAAGGAAAGTCAGACAGGAAAAATGGAACGGAGGGAGTATTTTTTTTTTATCTTAAGGTGATATTTACTACGTAGTATTAAAAACACTTTTCCACTTTACAGACAAACTCTGCTTTTTGAAGCATAGGTGCTCCTCTTCCTCTAAAAATCAGTTATTTATAAAGAATCATTTATCCAAAATCGCACAAATAAAAAAGAGTGTTTTAGCCCTATTATTTAAAATCCAACATAGAGATCAGTGGTTCTAATCGCCTAATATCTCGAAGGCAACATAGAGTCACTAACTTACACTAACCAATACTAATTTACAGAAAAAAGATCTTTTCAATCCGCCTTTTCTCTATAAGTTACAGACAGGTTTAGACTTCGGGAGGAAAAGCGCCTTGCATTTCTGAAAACCATGTCAATCTCGGACAATTACTGTTTCCTATCGAGAGTAAGAGTGCTGAATACTACGAGATAAATAATGAGGCATTAGGAGTTACTACAGCCCACACAACTGAATAACACACAATATTATCAACCTTCAACTAGCAATATTGAATGAAGAATATGAAAACGGAACTATTTTTCAGTTATACGGAGACATTAGAATGAGCCACAGATATATCATTAATATTTAATAGTAGACAAGAGTTTTCACACTGCTCACTTGATAATCAATGAGAGCCAACAAAGAGACAGCACCACCACATTGTACAATTAAACTGATAGGAAAACATTATACCAGAATTTATATAATCAATAAATTGAGCAAAACGCCAACAGCCCAACTTGTTACCTTGAAGCTGACCACTTTTCCCAGCAACTCTCAACTCATTTACCATAGACAAAAGTTTCGATACTTCTGAATCACTAAGTAGTTCTTCATATAATTTCAGTCCATCGACTACATTAACCTATACACAATGGAAACAGGTAGTGCATGTTAGTCCAACAAAAATAGACTTCCCACTATTATTCTTCAATAAGTAATGAAGGCCAAAAATAGATTCCGATACAGAATGATTCACAGTAAAGCGGATTAGACATTACCATTTTCCCATCACAAAACTCTTTACCAACAAAAGTTTTTGGAGTGATTGTATGGTTCTGCTTCCCATGTGGTACTTGTGTGGAATTACATTCATTCTCCACACCACAAGACCCTTAAGAAGCAAATAAATTAGTTTCAGATGAAACACATGGATCTAATTGCACTATTATCAATGCAAGTACTATGTTTAGGGTGTAGGAGACATACAAAGAAGTTTCTCCAAACTGAAGCATAATACCACCATGAATACAGGAACTCTATCACTATCCAAAGGTTTAGTAAAATACTCCCTCTGTCCCTTAAAACTTAGCCAAGTTTGACCGGCACGAGGATTAATAAAGTAAAAATGTGGTTGAGCCGTTGAGGTTTGTGCAAAGGAGAGAGAATTAACTGGAACCACAAATTCTTTACTAAAAAGGGAAAGTGACAAAGTTAGTGGGACATCCAAAAAAGGAAAGTTGGCAAAGTTATAAGGGACGCAGGGAGTAGTATTCTGAAAAATGAAATACTTTTGCTACAAGCCAAATGAGCAACCCCCTAAAGTGCAAGGATATATATAACTTATATACTAGTAATTGTTTGTGTGTTAGAAATGCAAGGATAAGACAAAAAGTTATTAGGAAAAGAGGAGGGTTGTACCATCAGATTTTGCAGTACATTTATCGTCTTTATTAGCCTCACTTTGCAAGTCATCAGATTGACTATTCCCCAAACTCATCATCAAAATATTTGACTCGGATCTTTCAGAATATTCTGTGCATGCAGGTATCATCACGAATTAACATCCTTTCAGTTTGACATATGTCAGAAGAGCCAGGTGATTTTCTAAAAACTCATGCAATTAAAGTACAATTCTGCAATTAGAAAAACTAACATTATCTATGCTTTTTATCTTTAAAAATACATTGAGGCACAACACATTGACAAAAGAACTTCAGCAATGAAGCCCATACCTTGTGTTTCCAAATCAGTTCAGAACAAAGTTCAAAACATGTTCAAATATGATCTTTACGCACGTTAGATATTATAATCAAAGAAACACTTATGGAATGTTCAAAAGTTTGGACAGATTGAGTTATATAACTATGGGTTTTCATGAAGAACTGTGTACAAAGTACACAGGAGTGTAAATATTACCAAAAAGGCTATTTGAAGTTGGCATTTCTGTGGGAAAGTAATTGAATAACTTCTACTTAAAATGGAAAAATTCTACAGAGTTACTGTTCGTGAGGCATGCCACAATATGTACATTAAGTTTGTAACTTTGTTTCAAAATCTCATAGTTTGAACTTTGAACCATTACAAGTAGTAATCATCTCTATAGAGAAATGAGTCAATGATGAGAATGGCAAGTCCCTAGTGTACCCCAACGTTTCTATTTATATAGGGATCTTTAAAATGCATGAACTAATCGAAGATAGCATTTTCTCTGTTAGGTTAGTACCATTGAGTAATATCACCATGTGCAAAACTATCCATTTCCAAGCCTGTTTTTTGTAAAATATTATGTGACCTAGTCCCACTATACCAAATAGCCATTACTAGTATATTCATGGCAATTCATATCATTACTACGTAGTATTACAAATATAGAAATCAATTATGATCCAGTATTCTACCGTAATACTTCACTTAGGAAACCCCAATACAAGCAAAGCGAATAATGCTTTCCTATGTTACCTTTCTTGTCAGCTTGTTTCATTTCCAATTCTTTGTCAGCCCCATCAGACTTCTCAATACCATTGGCCTTTGAATCCTTATTACTGATAGCCTCAGCAACATAATTCTGACACCCGCTTTCTCTCAATCCCTCATTTCTCCAATAGCCTCTGCCACCGCCACCAGTCCTCCTTCCCTTGAACCCACCATTATCAAAGCCCCTCCTTTGCTTTCTAGATTCCACTTGTTGCAAGGCATACACCACCTCTGCCACCGAGAAGTACTGCTGCATGTACAAAACGGAGTTCCAATTACTCCTCCTCTGCTGTATACACCCAATAACCCCTTCGTACTCCCCTGGCTCTCCGAGCAACCTCAGGTGATGACAAAGTGCATCGATTATGGCATTCGAGGCTGCAAACTCCCCCCTCATCCAAGATATGAAGGCATCCCTATCGTCAACCTGATGGTGCTGCTGGGGAGGGTACCACTGTTGCTGCGCCCTATGATGCGGGTGGTTGTGGTGGTGCACTACCATTCCGGCGCCGGCGCCAACATTATCCGGCAACGAATTCACAGCTTTTCCAGATTGCGCTGCCATCAAGCACTAAACAGGCAATATTTGTTTATACGTTTGTCTATCAATATGTATTCGCGTATATAATATATCAAGTATGTCTATCTACAGATAACAGATCGAAGCGGGAGAAGTTGCACCCATCCTTGTCGGATATGGAGAGTAAATGGCAAGTGAATATCGGCAAATCACACCACTGACGCAAGAGAATATCGGAACCTGTGGAATTGTTCTCTGAATTCGCAATGTAGGAAGATGACTATCAAAAGAGGATTCGTAGCGAATGGAATAAAACTCTGTTAGTGTGGAGGAGTCTGAAGATCTAGGGTTGGGTTGAATGCTAGGTCGTGGTGAGGAATATGGCTTACAGAACACGCGTACAATGGAGTCCCAAACAGTGCGTTAGTCATATCTTCACAAGCCTTCAATGGTAATTTGGTATGTCAATTGTCAAACAGCCACCGGGAAAAAAACACAAAAAACGCACGATTGTTTTGTTTCGTTTTTAGTGAAAAATGAAATTGCAGTTTTAAATTTGTCATCCTTTAAATTTGTCATCCTTTACTTTCAAAAAAAAAAATCTTTACTTATTAGAAATGTGATGGACAAAAAATATTACTCCGTATTTATTAACTATTACTCCGTAGTAATTAATGCTTTATTTGGATAAAATGAATTTAAGCAAACCTAATGCAATAAAGTGAAATTAAGTTTTAATGAAAATTAGTTGAGATCACGGGGAGCGGGCAACACAGAGGTATGTGACTCGTGCGATGGTGGCCCGGAAAACTCATGGCATATTTTTCTATCTTGTGCGGATAGCATATCTTGTTGGAGAAAGATAGGTCTGTGGGAAGACTTGGACACTACCATGAGCAGGGTTGAAAATTTCGTGGAATTTTTCTTAACTATGATCAGTGAGTTATCTGATAACAAGTTGAAATTATTTGGGATGACTATGTGGAGCATTTGGCGGAAAAGGAATGTTTTATATTGGGATGGTATACAAGAAACTATTACTCAGGTGATATCTCGAGGGGCTGACGTGCTACATTCATGGGAAGCAGGCCAAGGTTCGAGAGGTGATAGAAAGGAAAGTAAACAGAATGTTATCAAGTGGAGCAGGCCACAAATTGGTTTTGTTAAGTGCAATATTGATGCTGCAATTTTTTCAGGTGATAAACGAGTGGGATTTGGCTGCTGCGTTAGGGACCATATGGGGAGATTTTTTAGGGCCCGAACTTCATGGATGAGAGCGGAAATGAGTCCAACTGAGGCAGAAGCTTGGAGTTTGAGGGAAGCTCTTAAATGGATGCAGGAGACTGAGTATACAAGAGTTATTTTTGAGTCTGATTGCAAGCAGTTGGTGGATGATATTTACAACGCACACAGGGATCGGTCTGAATATGGATCTCTAGTACAAGATTGTAGGGATCTTGTTGGGTCTAATAACGACTTATGTGTCGTTTTTGCTAGGCGACAAGCTAATAGTAGTGTTCATGTTCTTGCTAGAGCATCAACTAGTTATGCTTTTTGCACAATTTTTTATCTGTTCCTTACTGTATTGAGAACATTGAGATTGATGAAATGAATTGAGCTTTTTGCGTAAAAAAAATGAAAACTATGCTAACATAAATCAACATAGGTTCATGTGTAAAATATTATTTGAAAATAAATAAGGTGAATCTAGATTAATCTAATAAATGTTGTTTGGTGAAGGCATTATAGCTCATTATATTTAATTTTACACGAGAACTTGACCTTCAAAGCCCTCCCATAGTCCCACTTCAGAGGTTCTTCAATTTTAGGTTCTCGAGAGTTAAGTGAGGTTAACCCAAATTTATTAATAATCTAGATTCTTGTTATAAAATACAAACAGAGTAAAATATCCATGAGCATGTTTAATATTGTTCAAAACAGAATAGAGAAAGCACGAACCACGTCTTCTCTCCGAGATGATCAACCGAGCAACAGGCACAGGTAGCAAGCTCAAGCCTCAACCTGAAATGGTGGTGGGATGCCCCCGAAGGGGTCATTACTCTATACGGATATAAAGTACTAGTGTGGCAGGCATCTAATAGATATTGTTGGGGTATACTACCCCGGCCTATTACTGTTCAAGAGGCCCAAGACACCGCTCCGGTACGGAGCCCAATCGGCGAGGCCCATTTAGGCTCAACCGGCCCATTTAGGCCGATTCGGCCCGTTAGTGCCTTTTCGGCCCGTTAGCCCCTTTGGCCCATTGGCAAACCCTCCTCCATTTCCTATAAATAGGGAGGAGGGCTCCTATTTGAAAGGGACTTCGTTTCTCTCCGAGGAGGGCTCTTGTCCTTTACTATTTCTTCTTCCCCTTTTGATAGCTTAGTTATTCAAGCTCCTTTAATGGAGTCCCAAGAAAGATGTATTATGTAATTGAGGGATGAGAGCATATTAATAAGAAAGAGCGGGCTTGGACGTTAGCCTAAAAAGTCCCGTGGTTTTCTCCCTTTCCGGGTTTCCACGTAAAAATAGCTAGTTCATACACTTTTATACTCCCTCCGTCCCAATATAAAAGGCACATTTGCGTTTCTAGACATTTTAAGGGTGAACACTGTTTGACACTGTTTAGACACTGTTTGGCACTATTTTGCACTGTTTTGTTTGCCAAAAGGGGAAATGTGCCTTTTATATTGGGACGGACCGAAAAGGAAAGTGCGCCTTTTATATTGGGATGGAGGGAGTATATTTTATTCATGTTTATACCGAATCCATCATCCTTAATATCCGAAGTTTATGTTGGGCTTCCGGATCTACGAGACAAAACCTCAACAGATATACAACAAGTATTTCACACACAAGACCCTCAAATAGGGTGATAGTATAATCTAGGCTGTAACCCCAAGTTACCCATTTTTTAAATATATACTTTTATAAAGTCAAGTAGTCGGCCCGTAGGCCCGTGTTTATCCACAAAACATTTCCCAATACCCCGTGACCACGAGTCGCAACGTCCACGAATTCAACATGTCACAGTTTGCATAGCGCGAGCTCGGCTCATCTGACATCTCTATGCAAACCCATGATTACATGGCGCGAGCTCGGTTCATCTTACGTCTCCATGAAATTCCAAATTCATGTCCACCGAATGCAAGTTCTAGACTACCAATCTTAATCAACTAACATTGGCATGGACCCCAATTCTTATGTCTACCTTTTGCAAATTCTAGAGTACCACTCATAATCAATTTATATTAGCATAGACCCCAATCTCTAAGCACTTGTTATACCTAGAATTGTCATAACATTAAGCTACCTTAGGACATCCTACGGACTGCCCCTAACTTGATCTTAGTTCACACTAAATCACAATAGACACTTGAAGTCCATCATGTTCATCACAATACAATCCAAACCTTGGGTTTGATTCTATCAACAATTCGATCAATCCTTAACTAGTATTTCATTACTATTAAGATCATTCTTACAAATCATTTATTCATAAATGGGAGCCCGTACATATCTAGAGGTACGTGGCAGCATCTCATGGTTCAATTCCATCATGCAAATATTCCTTTACTTAAGCATATCATTCATACATGAGTTAGAAATGCCTATTATAACATAATAGCACATTTATACCTCATTTAACTCCATATTCATCAATATGGTTTCAATTCATGATCGAATCCATTACTTATCATTCATATCATATTCAAACATCTTTATTCATGAAAACATGATTTAAGCATTTAGGTAATCTCATGCATAACCTACAAGTTGTAAGAAACTAGATGTCGGTCCTCACCTTAATGAGCTTTAGACTTTCCTTTCACGCTCCAATGATCAAGCCTCGGACAAAGAAAGTTGGGAGCCGACTCCTTGCTTAAGGAAGGGTGATCAGCAGCCTGCTCACAGCAGCTAGCTCACCACTTTACCAACGAACTGAAAACATGTAACACCGTCCCCAAATGTATTTACTTTTAAGTGAATAATGTATTGAAACTTGTAGAATGGTTAATGAGTATGCGATATTGTGAATTTTTATTAATTCTTTTGCGTGAATAGTAAATTCGCACGTGGGGCCCACACCGGGAGCGGGGGCCGCCCGAAATTTCCGAAACCATATACTTTATTTATTTTGGTCAAGATAATAGTTTTATGGTAGTGGACAATTTATTTGGGCCAAGGGAAAGGTATTATATGAACCGATTGGTCAAAAGTGGCTCAAATACCGGTTTTGGTAATTTCACGGATAACAGCCCGAAATGAATTTCGGGGGTTTATAAATTAATGTCGGGGAATGTATATTCATTATAAGGGTCATAATGATTGAGAACGCATAATATATTTTATTTGACCCGATGAATGAAATATATTTAAAACAGTCCGAAAAATACAACTTTCGGGACCGATTGTACACTTTGGGACACAAAGGGATGACCTCCCACATGAGTGGGGGCCATCCCACGTTTTTATGCTCATAGTTGACAAATTGGGGGCTGCATTATGGGAGTGTGTGATATGGAATGGATGAGAGTGGAGGGTGGGTGTGAGTATGACTTGAGGTGGACCTCACCTCCCTCACTCATTGGCCATTTGAGACAAAATCAAGTCTCACAACTCATCCCCCTATCATACTCGACCAAGACCCAAAGGAAAGAGGAGAGAAAGCTCTACAACTCCATTCCCCATAGCCAAATTCGAGCTCAATCTTGAGGAGTCCAAAAAGGGGGTTTTAGGAAGGAAAAAGTTGGGAGAAAGTGAGAAAGATTAAGGTAATGACCTTATACTAACTTTTCCTTTATTTTTCTTCTACCATATGAGATATATATCATATGAAGAACCTTGAGGATTTGTTCTACATGATTTAAGTGTAGAATGATGGGTTGGAAGGTGGTTCTATGTCCAAAAACGGACTTAGAGGCCAAAACGATCAGTTTACCGGAAAATAACCTTTTAGAGGTTATTTGTATTGATTAAGGTTTCACGATGTTAAAACCTTGTTAGGAACTTGATCAAAGCATTTTTGAGCTTCGCCGGAGTTTCGCCGGAGTTGGTCAAAGTTCGCCGGAGTTGGTCAAAGTTCACCGGAATTAGTCAAAGTTCAATCGGGGAGCGTAGAACGCGCTTAAGCTCACTTAAGGTGAGGATGACCGACTATATTGTTTATAATTATTGGGTTAATTTCATGAGATTACCTAAATGAATTAAATGTGGTTGGCATGGTTTATAAATGATAAAAAGTGCCTAAATGAAATTAATATTGTGTGTAAGTCAAAATGCATAATATACAAATTTATGAATAAATTGTGTATGATTATGTGTTATGAATAAAATGGCATGATAGTTGTATTAACCATGAATGTTCATTGTGATAAATATACTTTTACCTCATGTAAAGAAGTCATGGAAGGATAAAAGTGATATTTTGATATTAGAGCCAAACTATACTTGA